TGACGTTCAACTCTTTGTGTCATTTGCACCAAATCAAGATGATGCCTTGCTGACTCTCCAGAAACTTGAATCATGCATAAATGATGTCAGTGTATGGATGAGTTCTAATTCTCTCAAACTCAACACTGATAAATCTGAACTTATTATGTTTGGGTCAAAGTCACAACTTGCCAAGATCAATGTCCATGGTATCAACATCCAAAATTCACCTGTTAAGTTGTCGGTGACCTGTCGAAATCTGGGAGTCACCTTTGACTCACTTATGTCAATGTCTCATCATGTTTCTAACACATGTAAATCTGTCAGATTTCAACATCGTAACTTGGGTTTAATTCGGAAGTATCTAACCCGCTCAGCAACAGAGAAACTTGTTCACGCCCTCATTTCATCTCGGTTGGATTTTTGTAATTCCCTGTTGTATCAGCTACCCAGTAACCAACTTGCTCGCCTACAAAGACTCCAAAATTCTGCCGCTCGACTTGTGACCCTGACACCCTCTAGAACCCATATCACCCCGATTTTGCAGTCTCTGCATTGGCTCCCTTTTGCAGACCGGATTTAGAACAAACTGTTACTGCTTGTTTTTCATTGCCTTCATGATTCAGCTCCTGAATACAACATAGACCTATTAACTCCATATAATCCATCCAGGCGATTGAGATCTTCTGATGCTTCTTTGCTGGTTGTCCCTCACACTCACAAATCTTAGGGTGATCGATCATTTTCTCACGCAGGTCCTCATCTTTGGAACAAACTACCCCTCGCCATTCGCAACATCTCATCGCTTTCTGAATTTCAAGTTGCTCTCGAGACCTATTTGTTTCAGACCACTCAGAATATTCTTGTTTAGTTACATTTAATTGTTTTGTTATTTCTGATTTCATATAGTTTTTGTTTGCACCATGAGCGTCATTTATGGCGGATAATGGCGCAGTATAAATTTCCGTTATTATTATTATTATTATTATGTACACCATTTCATACTGACATTTCAAAGACATACACAATCGGTTTTTACTGAAATTTTCGAAATGAAAAGTTCAGCATTTGAGAATGAGTTTAATGCAAACTTTGAATACATATTTTGATAGGAAATCAAGCACTGAATATTTTGCACAGGGGGGGGGGGGTGTTAAAATAAAAATAATTAAACTCACCACAAGAATTCCAAAGAGCATTCACGGTAGTGGTCACAAGGCCGCGGGTTGACGGCTCTGGTCAAGTCCGTAGCTCGGCACCTCGGGTCAAGGCATGGTCGATGACTCGGGCCAGTCCGTAGGACGACACCCCGGCGCAAGGCCGTGAGCCGATGGACGACTCGGGCCCGTTCCGAGGGCCGGCACCTCGGGGGTTTGCCGTGGGCCGCCGACTCGGGCCAATTCCGTGGGCCGCCACTTACTCGGAGCATGGCCGTTGGCTAAAGACTCAGGCCAATTCCGTGGGTCCGCACCATTGGGTCAAGGCCTTGGGGTCATCAACTCGGGTCAAGTGTTCAAGTGTTCAAGTTGCACAAGGCCGCGGGTCGATGGCTCTGGTCAAGTCCGTAGCTTGGCACCTCGGGTCAAGGCATGGTCGATGACTCGGGCCAGTCCGTGTGACGGCATCCGTCAAACCGCCACATACTCGGAGCATGGCCGTGGGCCAAAGACTCAGGCCAATTCCGTGGGTCCGCACCATTGGGTCAAGGCCTTGGGGTCGTCAACTCGGGTCAAGTGTTCAAGTGTTCAAGCGCTCAATCCAATCGAGATCCAGGCCTTAGAGTCTGCTGAAAACACTGCTAATATCAACCTCTCAAGAAGCGTAGTCACGGTGGAGTCCATTCATGAGGTGGGATGACGATCCACACGGTAAATAAAATTGTTCACTGTTGAAGAGTGAGAAAAAGATCCATTAATTGGGGCGGTGTGGATTCAGAATATGTTTGAGTTAAAAGAAGAACTGAACGAAAAAATGTATCTGGAACACAATTTAAGTCAGTTAACGGTTGCAATACATATGAACAGGATGCATCAAGAAAATGGTAATTCGAAAAACGATGGGCTAAAAAGGTTAGGATCTTCAAAAATGTCAAAGTGGCCCATCTTTAATAATTGCAAACCAAGTACAAATGAGAGCCCATGGGGGAGAAATTTCAAAAAAGGTGTCACATGACACATCTCTGCAAACAATCTTTTGTTTTCTTCAAATTGACAGCATGGATTCATACAAATTTCCAAAAATGTGTCACTTGACACATGTTTCGAAATTGACATCACACAAGGTTGTCACCCATTCATGGACCCCCCAATTGCAATCCGAGTACAAATTAGAATGCATCGGGGAGGGGTGGATTCACAGAAATTCCCCAAAATAAGTTCCGCCACTGAGGCCATGGGCAATGCCAGTGGGACTAACAAAATGTGGGATGATTTTGCACATCGTGATGGTCCGATATACAGCTTGTTCTTCGTTGGCATCCATACTGCGAATTGGACACTGCGAATAGCAGCTCTGAAAATCATGGCACCACTTTAAAGGTAGAGTAGATTATTGATCATTTGTAATTTGTGCATTTTTTAATTTCATTTCAACCAGCAAATCAGTGTTTAAAATCTAAACAAGGATGCTTAATAACTAACCTGATGAAGTTTTGGCTCAATGAATGCTCTATATTTCAAGAAAACTGAACAAACATAACCACAATATTCTGAATCTCAAATTCCAAAGTTGCCGAGTCATATTTTGAATTGCGCCCTCTCATGACACATTCCCCAAATCAGCATTGGGACATGATTCTCATTCAGCCGGTTTCACCCATTTGTGGATTCTCCAATTGAAAACCAAGAATAAATCAGAACACTTTTGTTGGGGGGGGGGGGGGGGGGAGGAGAGAATTCACAGAAGTTTTAAAAAAATGTATCACTTGACACGTCTATGGAAATCAACCGTATGCGGGGTTTTGACCCATTCTTGGATTCCCAAATTGCAAACCAAGTATACATTAGAAGCATGGGGGAGGAGCCAATTCATTTTCAAAAATGTGTCACTTGACACATGTTTGGAAATTGATAGCATGCGAGAAGGTTGCCACCCATTCGTGAATCCCCCAATTGCAAACCAAGTTCAAATAAGAACACATGGGGGGATTTACATAAACATCCAAAAATGTGTCACGACACATCTTTGGAAATGATCTTTTGCTTCCTTCAAATTGACAGCATGCCAGAAGGTTGTCAACCATTCTCGGATCCCCAAATTGCAAACCAAGTATAAATTAGAATGCATGGGGGAGGGGCGGATTCACAGAAATTGCCAAAAATGTGTCACTTGACAAACGTTTGGAAATTGGCAGCATTCGAGAAGGTTGTCACCTATTTGTGGATTCCCAAATAGGTCTTGTTCAAATGACGTCATTTCCTACAGACCAGCGACGTGCATCGGCATTTTGAGCATCCAATTGCATAACGCGCATTGGCCGTGTCGAAATTCGAACACATTTCAAGCAACAAGCGCACATGTTTGGAACATTTTCAACACTGCGCAATGCATGATATATTGCGTAAAATACGCAGTTGCAGCTCTCCTACAGATTTGGACGTCATTGAGTGAGCCCTATTGCAAACCAAGTACAAATAAGAATGCATGGGGCGGTACTGATTCACAGACATTTCCAAAAATGTGTCACATGACACATCTTTGGAAAGGATCTTCTTTTGTTTTCTGCAAATTGACAGCATGCCAGAAGGCTGTCAACACTTTGTGAATTAAGTACAAACTAGAACGCATTGGGGAGGGGTGCAGATTCACAGAAATTGTTTCGAAATTGACATCATGCTTTTTGTCACTGGTTCCTAAATCCCCAAATTGCAAACCTGCAAGTACAAATTAGAATGCATATGGGAGGGCCGGACTCACAGAAATGTCCAAATATGTGTCACTTGACACATGTTTGGAAATTGATAGCACGCGAGAAGGTTGTCACCCATTTGTGAATCCCCCCATTGCAAACCAAGTATAAATTAGAGCACATGGGGGCAAAAATTTCAAAAAATGTGACACATGACACATCTTTGGAAATGATCTTTTGTTTTCTTCAAATTGACAGCATGCCAGAAGGTTGTCAACCATTCGTGGATTCCCCAATTGCAAACTATGTACAAATTAGAACGCATTGGGGAGGGGGCGGATTCACAGAAATTTCCAAAAATGTGTCACTTGACACATGTTTGGAAATTGACATCATGCGAGTTTGTCACCCATTTGTGGATCTTCCAATTGCAAACCAAGTACACAATCTAGAATGCATGGGGGAGGGGGGGATTCACAGAAATTCCAAAAAAATGAAGTTCTGCATGGCCATGTGAATGCCAGTGGGACTTACAAAATGTGGGATGATTTTGCACAAAATATACACATGTGATATACACATCTTGTTCTTCGTTGGCATCCATACTGCTAATTGGACACTGCGAATAGCAGCTATGAAAATCATGGCACCACTCTTCCATGCATTTGACCGCCGCACCTATGAGACTTATTCCAATTAAGGCACCTGTTGGACATGCTAGATTCATCACTCCTAACTCATCTTCAAAAGGGAGGATTTGTAGCAAACATCCATGGCAATGAGAAACACCACAAAGCCTTGGATGAAAACCACGAGACAAGCATCAACAAAGAAGTGAAGATGGCAACACCCAAACCAATTCCTGGAATTTATGGATCAAATCGCATTGTTTTTAGCAGAAAGAGCCATGGCAGTTCAAAATCTTGTTAGGGAAGTGCTGCCTGCAGAAAATGAAGACAAATTGAAGCTGCAACCTTCAGAACTGAAGAACATGGAGAAGACATGTTGTCACTTTATGACCAGACTCCAGGAGACAGACGTTGCTAGCTTTGACCCCGACACTTTGGAATTAAAGCGACAACACTGGATGGTTCACCAACTGATCCTGTGCAGCGGCAAGATATGAAGCGTTTCTATGATATTGGTAGCTGTACCTACAAGGCCCATGCATCAACTAGGCTAGCTCCTCCAACAGCCCAGTGTTGATGCTCCTATCAGGAAAAAATGTTGAAGACATTCCTTCCGAAGAAGAAAATAGTATGCAGAGTGAACCTAGCTGAAAAGAACAAGAAGCTTGTCATCAGATGTAATAGGAAGCTGATTGTGCAACCTAAGAATTTGGGACAACCAATCAAAACTCTGGGACGGTTCATCAAGCTTCTACTGGCCATTGCCACACCCAAGGGTAAAATGGTCCATGCAGATAAGACCAATGCCACTATTGTCTACAGGCGCCGACACAGTGAAGCATTTGCAGCCACACTACCTGCGTGTTGGAAACCAGAGTGTGTTAGCATGGAAGGAATGTTCATGATAAATTCTGGCCCGTCTAATTCAATGCAGACATTCAGAGATTACAGGCTTCATCTTGTTCACAAATGCATTATACCTTGATTACGTGAAGGTGCAAGTGAAGTCCGTGTGGTTTTCAACCATCCTGGCAGGAACTGAAACGACAACGACGATGGGCGATGGACTACTCTCGTTTTATCGGCTGATCGGCTCAGTGTACAAACAATTCCAGTCAGTGATGCCATCAGAACACAAGTCGCTCGAGCAGTTTTTCCAAAGTTTTGGTGAGGAAGGCAGTTGACTTGTACAACATCAGAAGTGGCTTGATTGCATCCGCGACATCTGATTTAGATTGAATATTCTTGTTACCCTGATTTACAGAAAAAGTTCTTCATGCAAATACATGTACTCAAGTTCCTAAGAAAAATATTTTCCCTTTATGACAAAAAAATTGTAAATACGCTTATTAAAACTCTTGTATGCAACATTTGGTTTGCAACGTGTTATAACGAAATGATAATCAAAATTGTGAACCATGAGCAGTTGTTGAACACTTTGTCCATGTATAAAAAGTTATTGATCACAAATCAATGTGTCCAATAGATACAGATTAATATGATTTTTCCCCCTACAAAGAGAGAATCAAATTAAAATAATACGCTTGAAACTATATCAGAAGTAAAGCCGCTTATCCACTTAACCTAAAGTACATGTATTTGTGTTTTATGTTTCATGTATATGACAACATTTGAACTGTACCACCATTACAAAATATTTAATTTGGACAACTTCTGACATTATGACCAAGCTCTTTACATTTCAAACACCGATATGTCCTTGCTTTTACATGGCTGATTCTCCTCAGCTTTGGGCTAGTGTACAGCCAGTGGAACCATATGATGTCTCTGAGGGCCTGAGCTTCATCATGCTTCCTGGCGAAGTGGCCACGCAGATCTCTGAACAACTTGTTCGCTGCCTCATTTCCTTCTCCGCTTAAGCTGTCAATTGTGCCAGGCCCCTCGGGATCCTCGATGATTTCCTGCACATGCTCAATTATCTTGTGAAGATAATTGGGCCACCCAGCATAAGAAAAGTTGGTCAGCAGAAGACGCCCCATCTCCACTGCACGTTGTTTGAAGGTGCTGACGTCTTCTGCTTCAGGGTGATGAGCCCGATACACTGTTCGAAGATTTCTGAAGATGCCCAAAACTTCCGCCAGGTTGTTTTTTCTGTCTTCTTCTGGCACGAGTGCAAGAAAGAAATCAACTTTTGCTGACGAAAACAAATCCCGGGCAAAGTTCCCCGGCATCATTAATTTTGGCACTAAGCCGATGGTTTCCGTTAGGTGGTCATTGAGGCGTTTCTCGGCAGCTTCGTACATCGGCCTTACATCTTTGGATATGTCCCAGCTTTGGACCCTGGCAACTTCACAGATGATCAACTTCTTGAAAAAGTTTCCCATGTTAATATCTGTATGGGTGGCATCGATTAGTTTGTCCTTTGGGTCCGATTGCAATATTGGATGTGATTTTACCCCCCTTGATACTTCTGTGAGTTCTGCTGCTGAGAGATTGTCCGGGTTTACTTGGATATACTTTGCAGTCGAGGTTGTTTCCTCATATGATCGAGATACGCTGAAGTGAAGGTGCCCAAATCAGTTTTTGCAGATTCCTTTGTTGCATGGCACAGAGTGCACACAAAGCGTGAACCACTGCCCTGGAGACCCCCATTAGCTCGGTCTAGTTTTTCATCAATCATGGAATTGAAGAATTTCAATTTATGCCGTCTCCACACAGGACCTACATTTATAGACATCTCCTTCCCTCGTAGCACCTGTCGGTCATGTTCCATGCCGTCAAGGAGGACAGTGGCCGACGCTCTATTGTTCTCGTCCCCTATAGCCTCAATCAATGGCCGTGTTATAAAAGTGGAGTCTGGAGCATCTGGCTCGTACACTGTCACCTTCTCCCCGTCCCTGTTTACCTCGCACTTTATTACTGCAAAAGCTGCCCGGAAGGCCTTGTCTGGCAAGAGACGATCCCTCGCAGCTTTGGTCACGGAGATGTCCCCCATCCCGTCGGCGCCATCTTTGATAGTAGTAAGAATGCAGAGATCGTCATCAGGATCAAGTCCCGCCTTCTGCAAGCCCATGACGATCTCTGCATCCAACTCTTCCAGGGTCTTGGCAAGAGCGTGTGCATTAGGCCAAGCCACGCCTTTCATGTTGGGGAAGGGGGTCTCCAATCCTGGGTGGTCCTCTCTATTCACATCCTGGAGCTCGAAGGACAGCTCCCCATATTTTACATGGGACTGTCCTGCCTTGACTGGGGTGTGATGAATGATGTCTGTGCCTCCCTCCAGCCGAAACCTTACACTACCGGGCATAAAATCCTTTTGCAACTCGGTGAGAATGTGTGGTGGCTTGAGAATGTTGGTGCCCTTCGCCTTGAACTTTCTATATTGAGCCTCATAATGTGTTTTTGATGTCTTTGTTGTGACTCTCATGGCAAGGCAATCTTCAGCCGTGAGCTACACGCTTTCCTTGCTCCAGGATGCCAAAACCTATTGGAATAAGGAAAATACACATTGAAATTAAAATTCATTTGTAGATGTAGGGTAGCAGTGAAGTGACATATGGTGGGAGCCCGACTGACTAGTCCAAGCACGCAACATGACAAATAGATTGTACACATTGTATAGCTCTAGAGAAGTACCTAACCTGAACAGTCCTGAATCCTCCAATTTCAATATGATTTTGCACACCCCCTAGGGAGTTAGGGTTTGAAGAGAGGTGGCACCTGAAAATATTTTGGGAAAGGTGTCCAACCTGCACAAGTCAGATGTGTATTATAATATCCTACTGGGTATTATTATAATAATAACCACCCCCTAAACATTTCCAAAAACACCCCTGGCATTAATCAGAGGAAACAGGATTTCAACAACTTTACATATATTTATGAAACATTTTTTTTTGGGGGGGGGGGGGATTTAATTTTTTTGGCGGGCGGGCGGGGGGATATTTTGACGTTGGTGGCACCACTTACCCCCCTATTAAACTTCTCTAAAAATAGGCCAAATTCATATTACCAAGGTCAATTCATGGAACTTAAAAAAAAAAAACACAAAAATTGACAACCTCTTGGGGGGGGGGGGGGCGCTCAATTCCCCCCCCCCCCCCAGTGTTCCACTGCGTTTGAAGAACCCTGTACCAACAACAGCAAATGAATACATTCCAAATCAAATTCATAATTACCTCTTTATACCTGGAGTCACCACATTCGTTTGGATTGTCGCAAAGCAAGAAGTAGAGGAGGTCAAGCTTGTCCTCTTTCTGCCTCTCGCAAAAGTCGCTGATGAAGACAGATGCCTCTTTGGTCCGCTTATGGGCATAATCCCGCCTGACATGATTCAAGCTGGCCTTGACATTCCATACACGTTTCTTTCCGTGTGATGCCATGCCGGGGTCCGGAGCTGTATCCCCAAAAAGGGTCCTAGTGGCAGTTGACAGGCTTGGCTGAGAAGATGCTGGGTCTTGTGCGCTGGTTGACGGTTGGGATTCTGGTTGGTCTGGTTGGTCGCTAGATGAGGACTGGTGTGCTGCGAACTGAGGGCGGAGTTGTGCCACATGAGCAGTACAAGCACTGCACACCCAGCAAGCAGCATCATGAGCAGAGAAATTCTGGATCTGCGGAAGTTTGCCCTGATACTGCTTGCCTTGCTCCATTGAACTATGTGCACGTTGCACCTGTTGCCTGTATAATAGGAAGCAATCAAAAAAAAATTAGTCATTTTTAATTAAGTATTCATGAATACCTAAGACAGTTTACGCATTCCTATTGGTCGAGAGCCCGTCACGTGGCCTGTCTTAAACGGATGATAAAGACATGGCTAGCTGGTCTTAAACACATTTCCAGTGTCACAATAAAATGTGGACTCCTAAAAATCCAGTGCCTCTTATCGTTTCATTGGTTGAACGTTCACAATCCTCACGTAGGCATGCGCAACACTACCAGGGAGTCAGAATTTTAAAGTTCTAAATTCAAAACGCAACGGGCCAGGTGCGTTCTGCGCGACATCGCGCAGAACATGATACGCGCGCGTCAATCTCCATAAAAGGGTTGTTTACCGTACATCTTACTCGCCAGCTGAACACTCCATTATTTTGCAAGAGGGATTTTTCAAAAAGCATAAAGTGAATTAGTTGAACAAAATCGGGATGTTTTGAACGAATTATATGATTTTTTCTTACCGAAAATGTATTTATGAATGGGAATAAATATGTGCTCCGTCGGTATTTATCACTCTGTTTAAGACCACTTAGAGTCTGGGTGCTGATAATTACCCTCGCCTCCGGCTCGGGTAATTATCAGCACCCAGACTCTAAGTGGTCTTAAACAGAGTGATAAAAACCTCCGAAGCACACATTTATTCCCTTATTTATGCCCTGCAGTGTGTCACTCATAAAAATTAATGAAAAAGTTTGGAGAATATCACCCTTGCTCATAACAGCCATATGGTTGCGAGGATGAAGCGTGGCTGGTTGTCAAGTAAAGCTATTCCGATAACGTACCAACGCTGTAACATTGCTAACAACAGTGTTCCATCTTTCAAGTATGCACATAGCCAGGCCTATTTTTCCAATTCAATGAAAAGTAAAGAACATATCACAACAAGATTTAGCACATACGTGGATCATTATAAGGGAACTAAAGCCTGAAATTTGCATGAAAGATATGGTCTTCCAAAGGGAAAAATTAATTTTCAAGGATTTTGCTATGTGTGTACATGTAGTTTCATTCAAAATAAAGTGTTACGTAACCTTTAGAAATCGCCCTTTCGCAACCACATGACTGGTAAGGGGGAATATATTCAAGTACTCACTATTCATTTTTTTTTTTTAGTTAAAGGAACTCTGGCCATGCACAACACTTCATTTTTAGGTTCCAATAATATTTTGATGTGATTAATATCTAGATTGTCTCTGCTTGCCAAGCCAAAAAGCAAGCATAAAAAAAAAAATTACGTGATATTAAGACTTGAGTGATAATAATAATGTTTATGGAATAAACAAAAATTGATAGCTAAGCTTAGAAATATATCAGCTGACAATCACCTGCATTTGTTGCACACAGATGGTGGATGGATGCCGCCCTGCTCCTCATCTAAATTGAGGTTGTACACAGCAAGGAGCTGTGTCTTGTACTTTGCCGAGCTTGACTTGTTTTTGGATGAGGTGATGATCTGGCTGCAGATCCTACACATCATAGCCAAGGCATTGATGTGCCCCTCCATTTCCTACCTGAAAGACATATGAGGCAAATGATGTTAAGAGAAAACGTACATCTAGGCCACTGAACATTTTTGCATACATACTGAACAACGACTGGAACAATTCAAATTTTTAGATATCTTCAATTTAGCCACTTATAAAAAATACTGTAGACCTTAAAATTGGTGCATACACCCTAAAAATGTACTTTAGGAAATAAATGTTGCAACCTGACCCCGACACCACTTTTTCTTCATCATCTCAATAAAGGTCTTTCACTACCAAAATGATGATAAGACAAAAATCTGGGACTGAAAAACTTTTCGAATTTTGTTCGTAGACTTGGTACACAATCCCGCAAACGGCTTCAGGTTGCAACATCTATTCAGTATTTTGTAATTCAACTGATAGTTTTCTAAAATTGTACTATTTCTGAGCTGTTCAATGGCAATCACATAAAAAGGGCCCATTGCCCAAGCGCATAATGCACCAGCAGCGGTCACTGCTTTATTATTATTAAAGTGAAAATACAACATTTGCAAACATCGAAAAATAAAACTACCAAGTTGTTCCGAAATACCTTACTAGGATTACCTTACAATGTTCTGGTATGTTTGATCCATTTCATCTTTAGTGGAGTCAGGGAACCAGACTACTTGAATATTTTTGTTTTTCTTGGTTTTTCCAGCATTTTCGAACATAAAACTTCAAACATGTCAGTGTAACAATATTTGATCTATTATACTAACCCCCCAAATAGTTCATTTCTGAAAATTACAGCAAAAGCCAATGATGTACATTCCCTTTAACAGCACTTCATAAAATAAAAAAATCATGATAAGGCATGAATCTTAATCTAGGACTTGAAAAACATTTCAAATTTGTTAGGAAATACTTGGGAAAATTTTATTGACTCTCCTTAGACGTTGAACAATCACAGAATTTAAGTGGTGTCAGGTTGCACATTTTTCTCCCAAAATGGAATACTTAAAAAAAAATACATGCATGACAAAAAAATGTTAATTATTTTTTAAGGTCCAAATCCGGTATAAAATATGATGATTTCCCATTATTGGGAAAAAAAATGTTGCAACCTGAGATGACGCCACTTCGGCGATGTGTACATGGAGAGTCACGAACATTTTTTTCAGTATTTCCTTACATTATTGGATATATTTCTCAGTCCCAGATGTTTTATCATGTCGTTTTTGCCTTTATTGAGATGATGAAGAAAAAAGGGGCGTCAGGTTACAACATTCTTTCTGTATTTCTTAACAAAATGGGAAATATTTCTCAGTCCCAGATTCATGTCTTATCATAATTTCTGCAATGAATGACCTTCATTCAGATGATATATGAAGAAAAAAGTGGCGTTAGGTTGCAACATTTTTTCCCTTTTTTGCTATCTAGCCCTACATCATACTCTAATTTATGAATTCCTTTTAAAGTTGGTGATTTCAAACAAAGTTAATGTAATTGTTATAATTCAAAGAAGTTTCGGGCCTAAATCTGAATCACACCCAGCCAACCTACACAGTCACTCCATTCCCATTCCTACATAGGCAGATTTCTTGCATTTTCAAAAATTTCATCGCCCATTTTGCATTGCAAATTGCTCAATGCTCGAACATGTCGAAAAATCAATGCTAGCTAAACGGCCGCACGCATGCATGCCTGCGCCGCCCGTCTCGGCCCCCTGCGGATACCCGCTTTGCGGTCAGGTCATATTCACGCGTACGTACGTCAATGACGTCATGCCACGACCACGCACGGATGGCCGTACGACGTGCGGATCAACCTCCCAGCGAGCATGCGATTCCATGCATATTCGCGCGGCGCACTCAATACACTCATCCCACACACACAAAACACGTTGACAATGATTCTCTAATACACAACCAACACCTTCTGCCCGTGGCGCGGTTTCACACTAAACTGGTTACAAAAATATGACTTACCAAACTCAAAATAGCACCCAGAGATCCGCAAGGGTTTGAGCCTCAGGTTGACATCAAAAATAGGGAATAAATTAACGAAGGAAAGTACTAATTCGAACGATTTCGAAGTGGAAATGACTCGAGTTACCGACACTACGTATGTGCGCATGCGCAACAGTTTCATTCATGAAATTTGCCTTTTATGGTCAGCGGGACGACGTCATATAATAAGGTAGCTGTGCCGCCCTCTCAAGGCCGCTCCGTGTCAATTCATGTAAGGCATTTTTCGCTGTGCAGTAGCCACAGCAGTGTGACAATACCAGCCACTTGCAGACAATACTTTATCAGGTCAATACAACAATCAACAGCCACACAGTAGCCACAGCTGTTTGACAATGCCAGCCACTTGCAGACAATACTTTATCAGGTCAATACAACAATCAACAGCCACACAGTAGCCACAGCTGTTTGACAATGCCAGCCACTTGCAGACAATACTTTATCTGGTCAATACAACAATCAACAGCCACACAGTAGCCACAGCTGTTTGACAATGCCAGCCACTTGCAGACAATACTTTATCAGGTCAATACAACAATCAACAGCCACACAGTAGCCACAGCTGTTTGACAATGCCAGCCACTTGCAGACAATACTTTATCTGGTCAATACAACAATCAACAGCCACACAGTAGCCACAGCTGTTTGACAATGCCAGCCACTTGCAGACAATACTTTATCAGGTCAATACAACAATCAACAGCCACACAGTAGCCACAGCTGTTTGACAATGCCAGCCACTTGCAGACAATACTTTATCTGGTCAATACACAGAGGTGGCAGCAAGTCATTTTTTTGCAAGTCCAAGTCAAGTCACAAGTCATTGTTTGCAAGTCCAAGTCAAGTCACAAGTCATTGTTTGCAAGTCCAAGTCAAGTCACAAGTCATTAGGTCCAGTAACAAGTCAAGTCACAAGTCATTAGGTCCAGTCACAAGTCAAGTCACAAGTCATTTGGTCTAAACACAAGTCAAGTCACAAGTATCTTTTTCCAAGAACACGTCAAGTTGCTCATTATTTTGTCCAGCTGTAATAAGAACCTGGCGTCAACTTACGAGTTATTTTGAACATGCCTCCTTAATTCCCCTTTTTCAATGTGTTGCCATTACTATTCTTGTAGTTTATCACATATCTGTCGGATATTAGCCCTTTGTATACTTTAATAAATTACTTTACATTGTAGAAATAAATGTTGGGATGACATGAAAAAAAGACTTCACTCACTCGATTACATGAAGTATACTAACACTTTATTGTTCAATTTTCATGTATACTAAACGCATACTCAATGGGTTAGGCTATCCGGTATTTTACATGCAATTGACAAAGGCAATGGGTTGGTAACAAGTCATTTTTTGCAATCCCAAGTCAAGTCACAAGTCATTGTTCGCAAGTCCAAGTCAAGTCACAAGTCAAAGCTGGTATGTACAAGTCAAGTCACAAGTCACAAAAATAGCGACTCGAGTCCGACTCGAGTCCAAGTCACATGACTCGAGTCAGCAACTCTGTCAATACAACAATCAACAGCCACACAGTAGCCACAGTTGTTTGACAATGCCTGCCACTTGCAGACAATACTTTATCAGGTCAATACAACAATCAACAGCCACACAGTAGCCACAGCTGTTTGACAATACCAGCCACTTGCAGACAATACTTTATCAGGTCAATACAACAATCAACAGCCACACAGTAGCCACAGCTGCTTGACAATGCCAGCCACTTGCATACAATACTTTATAAGGTCAATACAACAATCAACAGCCACACAGTAGCCACAGCTGTTTGACAATGCCAGCCACTTGCAAACAATACTTTATAGGTCAATACAACAATCAACAGCCACACAGTAGCCACAGCTGTTTGATAATACCAGCCACTTACCAATTGCTGACAATACCAATAGGCCCCCACCCAAAAAGTTCTGCTTCCAACTACATGGCATTTAAAAACAGGGTAATAGGTAGGGGGGTTTTTTTGGAGTGGGGGGGGGATTTTTGACAGTGATCATGTTTCAGTCAATACCAAACACCAACTGTGGACAGCACTTTGTCAAGTCAGTCCTTCTGATTTGAGGTGTGCGATCACACCCCCACACCATCGCACACCTAAAAGCTTCCCATGAAGTGTGAACAATTGCATGCCTGAATTTCCCTGGAACACAGATCACACACCTAAAAAGTCACACACCTAGAAAATCACACACCTAGAAAAGTCCAGGTGTGCCTTTTTCCACACGCCTGTGATTTTCAAATCAGAAGGACTGTCAAGTCAAAAACAGTCAACAGCACTTTAGCACCCACAGCTGTTTTGACAGGGATCATGTTTCAAACAGTCAATACCAGCAACTTACTGACTATGACAGTACTTTAACGAGTCAATAACAGTCAGCAAATATTCATTATCAACAACTGTTCTACGGGTCACAGTTGGTCAAGTCATTCTCATGGCCAGTTACTTAAGCAGTCAAAACGGGTCAATAATGTAGTTCTATGCATAGAATTCCAACGGGTCAAAAACGGTCACCTGACTGATTTTGACCCGAGTAACAGCATGGCTGAGAATGCATGTTTGCATCGGAGGGTTCTAATGGGCCAATTACATAAGTTTATGGATGTTGCATATAAAGGTAAAAGATGAGCTAGTATTTTTTCTCTTTTTTTCACTGCAAGGAAAAGGGTGCTTAGGACAAATTCAGTTTTTAATAGGCACTTCCAGTTACATTATTAAGCCATTTTACATTGTTGTCAAACGAGAATATCAGTTTTCAAAATGGCTTCAAATTTATGATGTGATTAGGGTAATGTATAAACAGGGAGAGACATTTTGTGACAAATGTCCAGTCTGTATGTACGTTTAAATCCTCATTATAAAATATCAAATAATTCTTCACAATGACTCTGAGTTTTCTAGGTTTTGACTGATAGCATTCCTCCAGGGTACATCTTCACAATGACTCTGAGTTGTCTAGGTTTTGACTGGGTTATCATTATTAAGAAATATCTGAGAGGTAGAGCAAGAGGTGGGGGGGGGAAGAAATGTTCGAATTAACCCCACAAAGCAGTGCCCCACTACCAGCACTCTTTTTTTGTGGGAGAACATAGAAGAG